CTCCAATTTGTCCACATCTTTCCTGAAATGTGGCACCCAGAACTGGACACAATACTCCAGTTGAGGTCTAATCAGTGCGGAGTAGAGCGGAAGAATTACTTCTCGTGTCTTGCTTACAACACTCCTGCTAATACATCCCAGAATAATGTTTGCTTTTTTTGCAACAGTGTTACAGTGTTGATTCATATTTAGCTTGTGAATCATTGGGAAGCACTTTTTAATACCAACACCCTCTTCTCCACTCTTCTACCTCCCCAAGCCTGCATCATTTCCCTGTGGCAACATTGCCAAAGGGATTTAGACACCTAAAGATGCAGCTATGTACCTAGACCCATATTCTGAAAGCTCCTAGCTGGAGTTCAGTGGGAAGTAGGCAACTGGACACTTTTGAAAATCCTATTAAGTGGCTGGACACCTCTAAAATATGGCCCCCAGTTCCCATTGAAATCAGAGGCTCCTGTCCTGCAGGGTGGGTCCCAGCCCTGGGCGTTGCTACCTGATGCTCAGGGTCACAGCACTTCTCGCTAAACTTTTGGCCTGCCCACTGCTCCGCCGTAAAGATGGAGGGGCAGCTGGGCCAAACCTGAGCAGTGCTGTAAAAAATGATAAAAGGCAGAAAGAATTTCATGCAACTCTACCTATCTGTGTCTTTAGACACATGTCTGTCTATATACCTTTGAAAATCTGGTGCCTGGTGTACTAAGGTCCCTGAATGGGGTATAGCTGGGAATGGAACCCATGACCTCTGGATAAAAAACCATGGGCTACTAACTCTTTAGCTCTACAAGTTGGTGTATGGCATACAGGCTATAGTGAACAACCTCTGTCTAGTCATAGAATCATAGAAGATTAGGGTTGGAAGAGACCTCAGGAGGTCATCTAGTCCTACCCCCTGCTCAAAGCAGGACCAACCCCAACTAAATCATCTCAGCCAGGGTGTTGTCAAGCCAGACTTTAAAAACCTCTAAGGATGGAGATTCCACCACCTCCCTAGATATAACCCCCATTCCAGTGCTTCAATAGTGAAATAGTGTTTCCTAATATCCAATCTAGACCTCCCCCACTGCAACTTGAGACCATTGCTCCTTTTTCTGTCATCTGCCATCACTAAGAACAGTCGAGCTCCATCCTTTTTGGAACCCCCCTTCAGGTAGTTGAAGGCTGCTATCAAATCCTCCCTCCTCACTTCTCTCTTCTGCAGACTAAATAATCCCAGTTCCCTCAGCCTCTCCTCATAAATCATGTGCCCCAGCCCCCTAATCAGTTTCATTGCCCTCTGCTGGACTCTCTCCAATTTGTCCACATCTTTCCTGTAGCGAGGGGCCCAAAACCAAATACAGCACTCCAGATGTGGCCTCACCAATGCCGAATACAGGGGGAAAATCACTTCCCTCGATCTGCTGTCAATGCTCCTAGTAATGCAGCCCTACCTTAGCCTTCTTGGCAACAAGGGCACACTGTTGACTCATATCCAGCTTCTCATCCACTGTAATCCCCAGGTCCTTTTCTGCAGAACTGCTGCTTAGCCAGTCGGTCCCCGGCCTGCAGCAGTGCATGGGATTCTTCCGTCCTAAGTGCAGGACTCTGCACTTGTCCTTGTTGAACCTCATCAGATTTCTTTTAGCCCAGTCCTTCAATTTGTCTAGGTCCCTCTGTATCCTATCCCTACCCTCCAGCATATCTATCTCTCCCCACAGCTTAGTGTCTTCCATGAACTTGCTGAGAATGCAATCCATCCCATCATCCAGATCATTAATGAAGACTTTAAACAAAACCAGCCACTAGAAAGTCACCTTATCACACTGTGGCTTATGCCAAGAAGGAGATATGCTATTATGAAAGAGTCAAGGCAACAAGAAGATACTGTCATGGCAAAGGTGTTTCAGCTCTGAGAAATGACCGCAAAATTCCATCATGGGCTATGAAAGCCAAGCTAGGTTCCTCCTGGCTCACACATCATCACCCATGATACTATTTCTGTGTTTGGAAATTACATAGCCATTCTGCTGCCGATGCAAGTGTTGGAATCAAAGCCAGATCCTTCTCTCTGGGCATGAAGCAAGGTTTTGGTTTTTAAGTGTTTTAGTCACTAACAGCTAATGTTACTCTGCAGTTGCTGGGTTAGTACTCCCCGTTGTATCTATTCTTTAGAACACATGATGCTAAGAGCTGCCAAACCAGATCAAGCAGGGAGTCCATCTAAGCTAATATGATCTCTTGCATACCAACTAGAGATGAAGGTTCGTCCTGGGTTGGTGCATGACCCAAGCATATTGGAGCTGTGGTTCAAGTCTCTGTTCTTCTCCTCACGTAAGACCTTGCACAAATTACTTAACCTTTTTGTGACTCAGTTCCACATCTGTATGATGGGGATAACAGCACTTTCTTACTCTATGGAGATGTTTTGAGGCTAAATACATTAAAGATTGTGCTACACTTTGGTAGTGAGGTCCATATTAGTACCTTAGAGAGACAGGGCCAGCTTCCTTAGGGGTATGAAAGGACCCATTTTTTTCCTGAATGCTGCTTAATTATTGGCTTCAATTTTATCATGTGGCAATGAGTTCCACAGGCTAACTGCATTTGTGAACATTGTGTGAAAAATTATCTCCTTTTGTGAGTGTCAATTTTTCTGCCATTCACTCCTATTGAACATCTTTCTTCCTCATATTGAGACAGGGAGAACAAAGTGTCTGAACTTTCTTCTCTGTGCCATTTAGTGTATTTTATATACTTTAATCAAGTGCCTACTTATCCATCTCATCTCTAAAGAGAAGTGAGCTCTGTATTCCACATCAGAACATACCACATTGTTCGCTCCTGTGTGCATTATTTTGTGTCTTTCAACGCTGAATTTCACCTGCCTTTTTGATGTCTCTCTATCTAGCTTGGTCAGGTCTCTCTGACATTCCTAACAGCCTTCTCTGTCTTGACAATACAAAACAGTTTTGTTTCATTGGCAAATTTTCCCAGCTCACTTGTTTAATCCCATTTCCAATCATCCATCTGTTTCGCTGTCTCCATATGTAAGCAGGGGAATGGTCCTGTTCTTGTGGGGAACTTTCCTGGCTTATACACTAACTACCCTGGTGAAGTGGGCTAGCGAAAGGATCTGAGTCGTCGCTCCCACTTCCTTTACTAAGAGCCCTGCCTGACCTAGAGGACTCCCCTTCCACTCTCCTGTGTGACAGAGTCCTCGTAATCCCAACAAGGCTGGGCCTAGTATTCCTGGGGGGCTGGACCTCCAATCGTGTGGTGGTCACTTAGGGCAGGGGCTAGGGTGTCCCCACTCTGGGGTGCTCTCTCTGCACTGGACACTTCCCTGACCCATTGATCATTACATACACTTCAAAGCAAATACAATTTATTAAACAACAATCAATTTAAAAAAATAAGGAAAAAATGGGAAAGGTTAAAGGAAAACACATAACCCTGCTCTGTGGCACGGGGACATCACAACCAGCATCTCTGAAATGTAAGGGAAGTTCAGTCTGTTCCTCACAAGTCCCAGGCTCCTTCTCAGGTCCTGGCTGTGCTGCAGGGGTGCTGCGGGTCGGACATTTGCTCTGGCAGTGGCCACACACTCTCAGGCTCTAAGTGGCAGGACCCTTCTTCCCAGCATCACCACCACCCCATCAGGGTCATAGGCGCCGACTTCCCCTCTGCCCAGTGGGTGCTCGACCCCTCCCCACCCTTGGCCCCACCCCTGCACCCCTATTCCTGCCGCTGCACTGCCCTCACCCCGCCCCCATTCCACCCCTTCCCCAAAGTCCCTGCCCCTGCCCCACCTTTTCTCTGTCTCCTCCACTGAGCGTGCCATGTCCCCGCTCCTCCCCCTCCCTCCCAGAAAGTCCTAAGTGCCACCAAACAGCTGTTAGGTGCGGGGGGTCGGAAGCACTGGGAGGAGCGGGGACGCAGCTGGGGAGAAGGAGGCAAGGAGGGGAGAGCTTGG